CTCCGCTTCTTCATTCTTTGCCTCCAATTGGGACAACGGAAGAACGGAAATCATGCTTCCAAACGGTTTTGCTCTTTCAAACTCCACTCAAGCTCCACCTTCTACATCTACTAACCACTCCTCTTTACCAAACCTAGATTCCTACTCCCTCTCCTCTATCATCTCCTGGTTGAACAACCAGGTGTCACTTTCCTCTCCCAATTCTTCTCCTGATGATGCAAAACAAAGACATTCTCTTCTCACCAACATCAAAGATAACCTCCGCCTTTTACTCGTTCCTTCAACGGACAAACATGGCCCATCTGCCAAAATTAAACATACTGCAATGAAATTGTCGTGGTGTTTCTAACAAGACACACGAAATTCACAAAATTTCAGACAAGTTCAACATTCTACTCCTGTGTGAAACTTTCCTGAAACCGGATAGACGCGATAACCTTAATATTCTTAAAAATTTTAATATTATTAGACTTGATAGATTAGTAAATAAAGGTGGTGGCCTGGTCATCGCCATTCGTAAAAACTTAACTTTTTCAAGAATCAACACAATCTATACCCGAGAAGACGTTTTGGAGACACTAGCTGTCTCTATTGACTCATCGTTGGGTAAGCTTTTGTTGATCTCAGCTTATAGAGTACCGGATAAACAAACTTCTATTAATGTTTGGAATTCTTTTTTCAATTCTATTAAAAATTCCGGTTTCAGGTCTGTCTTTATAGAAGGTGACTATAATAGTCACAATACCTTTTGGGGAAGCTCCCAGACCTGCATCAACGGGCAAAATTTATGTGACTAATTGGATACCTCCGATTTTATTCTTTTAAATAACGGCTCCCCTACTTACTTAGGTCGCCCACCGAACCCTGGTTCAGCATTGGATTTCTCACTTGTTACCTCAAAACTGTACACTCTCTCTTCATGGACCATACACAATGACACATTGGGCAGTGATCACTTCCCAATATTCTCATCTCTAGGTATCTCTATACCCATTTCCACTTTTTCTTCCCACAAATATAACCTCAAATCAATCAATTGGACACTTTTTACTGAAAATATCCGTTTATCTGTAGAATCCAACTCAAACCTTTTAAACACCACAGATCCCATCGCAGACTATAACCTATTTACAGATATCGTGGACAGCTCAGTCAAATTTGCCTGTCCACAACACAAACCTTCACACCACACACTAGGTAACAGGACACAAATAAGGTAAAAGTAAGGGTGCCCATTACTTTCAATTTTTTTATAAACCCAGAAGAAAACCGTGGTTTGCTGATTTCGTAAACACCTTCATAGAAGGATTTTCACAAATATCTCAAAATAAAATTTGTTTAGCAATTTTTTTCTTTATTCAAATTTTTATTAATTCTTGTCAAAATTGCATTCCTAGCATGAAAACGAATCGATTCATGTATATAAAGTATATATTTTATCAATATTTATAAAATTAATCGATATTTTTATTTTTAACAAGAAATTCAAATTTTGTAGTTTTTGAAATTTTATCTTAATACTTTAAAATAATTATTCTATAATAAAAAATTAAGCAATTGGTATATATTATATTGAGGAAGCTAAATGATCATCAAATGAACCATTTGGCTTGGTATTTTTCCGGCATTTGAGATAATCTGAGCGGGAGGTTTGACGTCGAGGTATAATGATGTGCACCGTCGATTATTGTCCGGTACACACCATTAGAACTCGACTGTCGATAAACCGGTTGTACTCAGGAGAGGTTTTCTACAGTTTCCCTCTCCACTGGCAAGAAAACCCATTAGACGGGTGGTCCAGGCAAATGCGAGTACTCCTAATTTTCAAGTCGCTCTGTAGGCACAAAATTTAGTATTTAAGTTTGTCAGGGAAAATTTGTAAGAGACAGGTGTATAAACCAATAAATAAAAATAAATAAAGAAAAAAATATTTCGCAAATTTTTTCAAAAAAATTGTTCGGTTTGAAAAATTTATATTTTACATTTTTTATGGGTTTTTAGTTTTAGAGATAAAAATTTTAAAAAATTCATTTTTAAGATGATGAAAATATCTTTCAAATGATAAACGTAGGGTAGGGAACCACAAGAAGAGTCCAGAATAGAGTCGACGTCGGTATGAACGCGTCGTCCTATGTATTCCATATGGAGATCACGTGACCAACGCGCTTCTACCGACATTCACAAACCCTATTCTGGACTCTCCTTTAGACGTGTATAACTAAACGCGTTTGTTTCTAGCAGAGACATCGTCAATGTAGGTAAAAAAATTTTGAAAGAATTGTTTTTAAAGTGATACTGTGATTACAGTTAATAGTTTAAAAATTCTAAACCTTGTAGTAATATTGCTTACATAAAATAATATTATAAATGAATATCGATAAAATTGTGTTTTTATGTAAAATCACTTTTGAATTTTTTTTCGATTGGAAAATTTTATGATGAATAATGAAATAATTTAGTGTTTAATGTATGAAATAGGATAAATAATTAGCAATATTTTAAAATGGCTTCTTATGAGCAAAAAACAGAATTTGCAACTATTGATTCTGTGATTATAAGCCAAAAACAATACATTTCAAATAAAGTTACCTTAAATTGATTTTTGCAACTATTTTCTTAATTTTTCAGTGAATCTTTAAATGGTGGCCACCTTGGGGCCACTTTTTTTAAAGCCAAATTTCAGCTGTTTTTCCAAAGTCGTCTAAGTTTTATTTTCCTTATTAAAATAAAACAATTTTTTTGCTAAAAAGTTAGCTAAGGAGATACAGTTTCAGGGCATATATTAATAATTATGTTATATAATACCGTATAGGAATTACAGTCGTTCAAAAGATTGGTGGCCACCTTGGAGGGGCGCATGATTATTCCTCAAATTTCAATTTCCTAATGTTCAAAACATCGAAATTCTTATCATCGAAACATCATTTCGCATAATTTTCAGTTTTCGAAATTTCATTCAACATAATTTTTAATTTATCGATTTATTCCGAGGGGGTATTTGCTGGTTGAAAACGTGTACACTCCAATACACTTATTACGCTAAAATTACACTTATTACCAAGTATTACAGGGCAATACAGAGATATTTCTAGGTATTACACCCACGTAATAACGTACTATTACGCCCTATTACGCGATATTACACGACTATTACAAGAAGAGTGTACACTCCAATACGGGAGTATATACCCCCTCGATTTATTCTTTATCCTATTATTTAAATAGTCGAATTGTTTTTTAATATAATTTTTAATATGTCTAAAATTTTTTTGACATACATTTTGTTTTTCCGAATGACTCCCAGTAAACGAAAACTAATTGAAATGAATTAAAAAGAATTCACAAAGAGCTTTCGTGAATCCCGCTTTGTGACAAATACGAATTGGAGCCATGATGCAATTTTCCTGAATTCGTGAAACTGTATTGAACTTCCGAACCTTCTATCCGTACCAATTCACTGGACAAGTTTTGAGCCTTTAATTTTTTTCAATTCGTTAGCACGAATTCAATGCATTCCTTGGCCATTTCTTTCGAATGCGAATTCGTTTGGACAAATTGGTACATATTGAATTAAATTTAATTGAATATACAAAGAGCTTGAGTGAATCCCGCTTTGTGACAAATACGAATTGGAGCCTACCAAAAATGTTAATTCGTTTCAATTCATTTGAATTAGTTTTTTTTTACTGGGCTATTTGTTATAATTATTAATCCTCCGAATTGCCATTTGACATAATTTTCAAACCTTCGAAATATTATATTACATAACTTTCATTTATCGAAATTTTATTTGTCATAATGTTCATTACTCGAATTATCAAGTGACATAAAACGCATTTACTCGAATTCTCATGAGACATAACTTTTAAATCTACGAAATGTCATATTTCAGAAATTTTAATTTATAGAAATTTTATTTGTCATAATTTTCATTTATTCGAATAACCATTTAACATAAAATTTATTTGTCCGAAATTCCATTTGACATAATTTTCAAACATCCAAATTACTTTTTAACCTATAATGCAAGTCACAGAAATTTCATTTGTCCTAAAATAACAATAGAAATAAGAAAAATATTTGAAAATTTCATTGTTATTTTTAGGACAAATGAAATTTCTGTGACTTGCATTATAGGTTAAAAAGTAATTTGGATGTTTGAAAATTATGTCAAATGGAATTTCGGACTAATAAATTTTATGTTAAATGGTTATTCGAATAAATGAAAATTATGACAAATAAAATTTCTATAAATTAAAATTTCTGAAATATGACATTTCGTAGATTTAAAAGTTATGTCTCATGAGAATTCGAGTAAATGCGTTTTATGTCACTTGATAATTCGAGTAATGAACATTATGACAAATAAAATTTCGATAAATGAAAGTTATGTAATATAATATTTCGAAGGTTTGAAAATTATGTCAAATGGCAATTCGGAGGATTAATAATTATAACAAATAGTCATTCGGAAAAACAAAATGTATGTCAAAAAAATTTTCGACATATTAAAAATTATATTATAAAACAATTCGACTATTTAAATAATAGGATAAAGAATAAATCGATAAATTAAAAATTATGTTGAATGAAATTTCGAAAACTGAAAATTATGCGAAATGATGTTTCGATGATAAGAATTTCGATGTTTTGAACATTAGGAAATTGAAATTTGAGGAATAATCATGCGCCCCCACCTTGGAGCCCCTTACCCTACAATTAAAATTTAATGATTTCCTAAACAACTGTATAACTTAAAAAACAAAAAAAAATGTAAAATTTTCTTTTCCCATAATATTAATTTTTGTTTTATATTTATAGTGTTAAAGTTCAGGAAATGAGCTATCAAATGAGACCTTTTCAAGCTTTGTAACTTTAATAATAAACAAAATAGAAAACTTTTTGTAAAGTGTTTAATCGCTGTAGGTTGGGCAAAAGTTATTGAGCGACACTGTATAATAGAAAAAATGAAAAGACAAATTACTAAAGTGAGTTCTTACCTTTGTTACATTGGTCTTGCTAAGATTAATATGTTTTAAATGTAAATATCCTAAACTTCCATCAGATATTAATGGGATGAAAGACTTAAAGAACGCCATTAAATCTTAAGCTTCCAAATTTACTTTCGTTTCCCAGGTGAGTTTATCGAAAGTTCTCATTTCCAAAGATGGATTTAATTTTTCTCCCAAAGAGTAATAGCCGTCAAGAATTTTTGGAAAATTTTTATTCATATAGTACCTAAAATCTGTATAGAAAAAGTTTTAACAAAGAAATAATTAATCTAAATCATCAATCGAAATAAACATTAATTATTTTTACATCTAAGAAAGTTGAAGTAATTCAAGCAAAAAGCTTGAAACTTGAAACTCGACCGGATAATTTCGAGCATTTCTTTCTTTGGGTCAAGTCGAGTCGATTCAAAATCATTTCATTTCCAAATTAATATCATTCTTGAAATTTCATGTTCTAATTCCTTTAGAGAGATAATTCAACTGTACATATTTATACTCTTTTAAATTCTGATTGGGTGGTTATAATTGAAATCAGTTTAATTATATTTAGCTTTCTTAAATAAAAACTAAATTTTGACTATTATGAATTGTTATTAAACAGAAATCTATCTGGAAGAAAATTAATTTGTAGAAACTTTTGTTCATTATAAAAAATATTTCTATGTAAGAATATTTAGGTTATAGAATTTATAAATTGCAATACTTTTATTTAATTTAATTAACTATTAGAAATATTTCTTCATGGATTTTGAAATTGGCCGATCACAACTTACTTGATCATTTTTGATTAGTCAAAATTTGACATTTAGATTTTCTGTCAAATGATAACTTAGTGTTTTAAGAATTTTATTTATTAAGGAATAATTCGTAAAAACGAAAATTCGAATAAATGTGGAATTGTTTCATTAGATTTTCTAACAAATATAGTCATATAAAACTTATTTTCGATTTTAAATTATATTAAACAGTAGTGCTTCAATATTTAACTTTCATAACCTAAAAATTCTTACAAAAACCATTTGTGATAAATAAAAATTTCTACAAATTAATTTAATTTTCTTTAAAGGCTTATTATAGTCTTTCATATCTAAAATTAGACACAGCGATTTCCAAAAATCTATATAATATATAATATTATAATATATATAATATATCTATGAAGCATTCTATTTCAAAACGACCCCCCTTGTAAACAATTGCCAATTTAAGGCAATATTTAACAAATATTTCTGCTATATAAATAAACCAATTGAATTTTGTTACTAGCAGCTTTGAAAGATAAATTCCTGAACTTTATGATAGTAAAAATCTTTTTTTTAAAAAAATAGCGTAATTTTATAAAAAATTTGATTTGAAGGTTAAACTTCTAAATACACTGAAGTCTTGGTTATACGTACAACTCGGGTGTGTGTCCGTATAACCAAATAGGTCACCTTGACGAAAAACACGAAAAAGTATAAATATCCAGGACAGTACGAAGATTCTTTTTGCCCTCGGTTGAAATAGAATCGCCTGCTAATATTTTTAATATCTTTAAAATTTATTAATATAGTGTAAAATTGATAATTTGAATTTATTAAATTACATTTGTAGCCAAATAAATAAATTAATTAATATTGTCCGATAGCTCACTAACAATTTTGAGGTTAGGTTATATCAAGGGGAAAAAAGGATCCAGTAATAGGTACACTGTAAAAAAAGCCATGGTAATTTTACTATGTCCGACGTTGGAAATTAGTTACACCACGTATTATATAGTAACTTTACTATGTAATATATGGTAATATGACATAACCTTTATGTTTTTTTCAACACTCAGTAGTATTGCCAATTTTTAAAAAAACATGCCGAATGTAATTTTACTAATGCGTGCAACATAACCCAAAAAGTATAGAATTTGGATGCTTTTTCAGAATAGAAATATTATATATTTAATATCGAAGATAATTATAGTAAGAAATTAGCAAAAGTTAGAGGAAAAAGAGAACAAAGTCTACTAATAAGTCCATTAAAAAGGTTTTGACATTTTTCTGATATCTTAAAGTTGTATATTTCTAAGTGAATAAAGAAAATGGCAACTTAAAAAATTATGTTGAGTTGAATCCTCGGTAGAATGACACATTCGGTGTGTTATTTTACTACGTCAGACGTGGGAAATAAGTTACACCACGTGAGACGTAGTAAATTTACACAGCAATGGTAAAAATACTATGTAATACCATATAAACTTACTACGATATGTTAAAAATACCTAGTTTCGTAGTATTTTAACTCGTGAGACATAGTATTTAGATATATTTATTTACTTAAACCAAGTTTTAATACACTGTCTTTTTTTACAGTGTACGCTACTGATATCATCGAGTCAAGCACGACCCTTCCCTTCAACCCTCATCCCGTTTCAGCGCCATCACATTCCGTAGAACCAAGAGTTTAGTGTATCTCAAAACACGTTATATTCGATTTTGATAAAATTGATGTCAAAATAAAGCATAAATATTCTAATTTTATTCCTGTAAAAATTATCTTTGACATTTCAGTGGATTTTGAGAAATTAATTAAAATACACAATCGTTTCAGAGGTTAAAATTTGTATTAAATTGATAACCACTTACTAAATAGAGCATTATTTGTTTTTCTTATTAACCTAAAATTGTTAATTAATAAGTTTTTAAATATTTAATAGTATATTACATTATAAGGGCAGAAAGTTCGAAATTCCTGCACTGCGCGAAATGATGCCCGAGGCGAAGCCGAGAGCATCATCGCGTAGTTTAGGACTTTCGAATTTCTGCCCGTGTAATGTATACTATTTTTCTTTATATACGGTCGAAAGTACGCTCGCTAATTTATTTTTTAAGAAAATTGCAATCGTGTTTCATTTGACTGCCGGCCATCTTTATTTACTTTTGCTCCTCGCTTCAACGCCTCTAGCGGACACTCGTGAAGCTCGGTTTTTTCTCTTTCTCTCTCTTGCAAACAATATTCGCCTGCCCCGACATTTGATGCACGAGCGAAGCGAGTGCTTCTGGTCGGGGGCAGGCACGAAAAAAATGTGAAAGATAAATTAATATTATATTTTTAAAAGAATTTTTCTGTTGATATACAAAATTAATTTTATCCTACCAAAAAAAAGCATGGGCAAGGTCGAATATCGAAAATATCGAAGAGAACTCGCAGCGCGATTAGGAAAAAAGCATTGGAGAAAGACATACTCATAAGCAAAGTGCATGTTGCAGATGGAGCTGCGGTTGTCCAATTGTTGGCGCTAACTTTTAAAATGCTGATAGCCTTTTTTGAAATTGATAAAAAAATAAATATTTATTTTTATGTTTATTAAAAAAGCAATTAAAATAAATAAATAGAAATCAATATTATTGAAAATAATAAATAATTATTAATAATAGTAGTAACAACCCACATAGCACAACTTTTCACTGTAAGGTTACCTGAGACGACATCTGTAGGGCTTGTAAGGTTATCAAGTAAGAGTGTGGTAAACACGATGAAGTCTAAAAACTTCCGCCTTACTGTAGCCTTACACATGAAAGTCACTGTAAGCTTACACAGTAAAGTCACTGTAAGCTTACACGGTAAGGTCATTGTAAGCTTACACAGTAAAGTTACTGTAGGGTTACACGGTAAGGCCACTGTAAGCTTACACGTAAGGTTATGGTAAGGTTATACTGTAAGGCTGTGGTAAGGTTATTATTAAGTTGTAATGTTGAGGTAAGGTTGTGGTAAGTTTACAAATTATAGAAAATATTAACAAAATAATTAATAATCTAATTAAAAAATAAATATTAAAAAAAAATTAAGTTTGTTGCTTTTCTAAATTTTGGAAACCTAACATAAAACAGAAAATTTTGGAAACAAATTTGGGGGCACTAGGACTCGAACCCGGGATCGACGCGCATAAACCTAACACTCTAACTAACTGAGCTAAGTGGGGAACTGAGAAAGAGAAAATCAATTTTGCTTTTAAGGTGCACTAAGAAGAGAGCTAACTCCTTAAAAGCAAAATTGATTTTCTCTTCCTCAGTTCCCCACTTAGCTCAGTTAGTTAGAGTGTTAGGTTTATGCGCGTCGATCCCGGGTTCGAGTCCTAGTGCCCCCAAATTTGTTTCCAAAATTTTCTGTTTCATGTTAGGTTTCCAAAATTTAGAAAAGCAACAAACTTAATTTCTTTTTAATATTTATTTTTTAATTAGATTATTAATTATTTTGTTAATATTTTCTATAATTTGTAAACTTACCACAACCTTACCTCAACATTACAACTTAATAATAACCTTACCACAGCCTTACAGTATAACCTTACCATAACCTTACGTGTAAGCTTACAGTGGCCTTACCGTGTAACCCTACAGTAACTTTACTGTGTAAGCTTACAATGACCTTACCGTGTAAGCTTACAGTGACTTTACTGTGTAAGCTTACAGTGACTTTCATGTGTAAGGCTACAGTAAGGCGGAAGTTTTTAGACTTCATCGTGTTTACCACACTCTTACTTGATAACCTTACAAGCCCTACAGATGTCGTCTCAGGTAACCTTACAGTGAAAAGTTGTGCTATGTGGGAAAGAATATATCTAATTTAAATGTAAAGAAATTAAAGTTATTAGAATTAATTAAAAATTAGGTAGCAAACTAAATTTAGAAATGGCGTAGAACAGTTAAAGATTTTTTAATGCTTAGCCCTATTTAATGCTTAGCGTTCGCCAGTTTCGTATACCTTAGGCTTATATGTTTGTGTAAGTTTAATTGTATATCAAATACACAAAGAAAAAAGAAAAATTGTAATTAATTAGAAATTAGGCAGGGGACTGAATTGAAAAATGGCAGAGAACAGCAAAGGAGACGGCCGCTTGCGGCCGTCGACTGCGCTAGTGTTTCTAAAATTCTAAACGTTCTAATGAACACAATTTCATTATTTCTTCAACCTATTAAAATTTTATTATAACATTTTGGCACGTATTAAAAAAGAAATTAAAAAATTTTTAATTTTTTTATTTTTGTTTTTAATGTTTATTAAAATAAGTTTTGAAAATAATTATATCAGCAAAAGATTTCGTTCATTTCAATATTCAGAGCTTGTGTATAATAAATTTATAAAGTATAAAAAGTTTTCTTGATAATTTTTTTTCTCATTTTATATTGCTATAACAATTATTCGTTAAATTTTCATTGAACTCGAAATTTTCTTATTTACCGACAGTGGTGTTTTTACCGACAGAGAATTCTTTTACTCCCGCTGTAATAGAGGTTGGGTATGAAAATCAACCAAAGCACAAATGTTTGACTTTCTGCTGCGAAATCGCAGAGGGAAGTACGTACTTTCGACCAAGGTATGAAGAAAAAAAATTTAAATCATTGATGGAAGCTGAAATATGTATCTTTTTTAGAATTTTCTGAAATAACTATTTTTTTACAGAAATTTTAATTAATTTTTGTCAAAATTGTATTTTTGACACTAAAATGTATTAATTAATATAAGTATATTTTGCAATATTTATAACATTTTGAAATATTTATTAGACAATGCCAAATTAAGCGATTGGCCTATTCATGGAGTTTAAATTTTATCAAAGATTCGTAAAACAGTTTGAAAATTATATTCATGCCACGAACATTTTTTAATGGGGTGCCTGATTATCCCATAAAAACATTTGACAGAATTATAATTTATTCGAATTTTTGTCACTTCGAATTAGAATTTGCATGTTTATATGGACAAATTATAATTTATTTTAATTACACAGGGCCACAAAATTTTTTTCGGGTAAATATACATAGACGGGACCATGTGCTATATACGTATTTTGACGCCCTGAATCCAATTCTGGGTTTACTTTTGCTTCAACACGTCAGTTTCGAGATAAATTAAAATTTCTCCAAAAAATAGACATTTTTACCATTATTTTCGAACGTTTATAAAGAGACAAATTTTTCTGATAATTTTCTTTACATCTGTTGAAAATTTCATGTTTGTTTGTGAGAATTGACACCTGTAAATGTGTATAAAATCTAGAAATAACTAAATAAATTAATGGAAAAAATCGTTAAGCAGATAGTTACTTCGCTTTAAATATAAAGTTACTATGTAATTAAATATACTTGAGATTTTTGTATCTATGAACAAAATGTTTAACTTTAATTAGAACTGATAGTAATATCAGATCTCGTAGTATTCATAACCTGTGAAGTAAGTCATTAATATATTGAATATATTTTACTTATTTACTTGCACTATTTTTTATTCCAAACCTTGTTCTTAGCCCCTAGGGCTTATACGAGCGAAGTCTCATTACATAATGATAATATTAGTATTCACACCTCAGCAAAACATTTATATTTTATTTACATTTCGTGTATAATACGTTCATTCAAAATTTTAACAATTAATACGGTTGCGTGTTTGGGTGAATAGGAAGGCAGGGGTAAATGCAGAGGGAACTCGATGCCGCGCATCGTGACTCGTCCAAGGATCTCAGGCGTCTACCGTATCTCTCTAAGATTGCACCCCTGGATGTCTCAATGTTATCCAGGGAGAGATCCGACCATATATTATTTAAATCATTATCTTCAAAGAAAACCCTCAGTTGCGTAAACCAGTTAAAATCACAAAAAATATTATTCAATGATAAAGCCCTGAGTCTTTCAAAACATTTTCTAGGATATCTGGAAGACTCCATTCTTGAAATTTTTTGAATCCAGCTCAATATTAAAGAAAGTACCCCATAACCCAAATGAACAGCCCCCGTTTCTACTCTAACAGCATAATCGGGCGTGTTTAACGGTAAAAGTAAGAGTTTTTTGTAAAATATCAATTGAACTTTTTCCAACTGGTCCAAATGTCGGATTCCCCACACCTGGACCCCATAAAACAATCCGCTTACCGCTAAGCTTTGAAAAAGTTTAGTGTATGCGTTCCAAGAGTCCATACCCAATGAGAGAATAGATTTCAGGATTCCCCCAACCACCATCCTCGCGCTACTAATTGATTTAGAGACCTCTGAACTGAAAAAGCAAGAGTTTGAAAATATAACACCTAAATAAGTGTACTGCTTCACTACCTCTATACGCTCCTCTCCATATTCAAAAGAACGATACCTTTTTTGCTTTCCTTTTTTACTGTGTGCTATACATTTCATTACCTCCTCAAACGTAATTTCTGAATCTAAAAGCAAATTAAAAGGTCCTCCTCTGAGTTCAGGCATAACATTAACCATCGGCGTCACAGGATAGCAGGAATGCAGATATTCCGTCCATGTTGCAACACCAACTTGCGCCCCCTGCTTACATCGACCACCCCTTGACGAATTAACTATTTTCCAAAACTCTGACGAATTTCTGCAATTAGCAACTTTATTAATGCGCAAATCTCTATATGTACGTTTTTTACTTTTCAAAATAGAGCGGTAATTTCTCTTTTCTTTCAAAAAATTTAATTTAGATTCTTTACTTAAGTTATTTGCTTTTGCTCTTTTTAACTTCAAAAAAACACGTCGTTTTGCATCCCTGCACTCCCGATCGAACCATGGCTTATTATTGCTTATCAATCTACCATGTCTGGGAGGGCGCGTCATTCCTAAATTTTTTGCAACATTCTTTATGGTCGAAGTAAGTGTTGAATTCAAGTTTACAACATCTCCATTCAAGTGCGACACCTCCCCACTCCATTCCATTGCGCGGGTGAAAGCTTCCGCCCTGAAAATATGAAAACGTAAACCATCGTCCCCATCCGATTGATATACCCCAGAATAGTGATCCGCAAACAACACCGTGACCGGAAGATGATCGGAGAGAGTGGGGAGCTGCAAAACTTGAAGGTCACAAAACAAAGACAAACCATCATCACACGAACACCAGACTTTATCAAACACACTATGGCCCTGAGCTCCCGTGAAAGAAAAATTAGCAGGAGTATCACTCGGAGATCGTCCATTTAACAATACAAAATTAGAACTATCCATAAATTCGACCAAAGTTCGACCTCTAGAATTAGTGGTCTTGTCTCTGGATATTCTTTCCGCTGTAAAAATACTATTAAGATTCAAAATATCCGACTTCAATTGGTTTAAATTGGCTAGTCTAGCATTAAAATCTCCTCCTACCACCCACGGAAGCCCAGGGTACCTACTACAAATATGATTAAAAGATACATTTATTTCATCCAAAAATTCAACTATGTCAACATCTGATGGAGCATACATTACACCAAGAATAAAGCAATTAAAATTTGATTTTACTTTTATAAAAATGAAGTTATTATTAATCTTTAAAATATCAGTCTCGTAAACATTTGAACTCATAACTACCAAGAGACCACCCTTTGCTCTGCCGAAATAGTTGACCTTGATGGCTGGTGCCACGATGAAGACCCAACCCGGAACGTTTAACTTCAATTCTGCGTTCGTTGACCAAGTCTCACAAACACACAGAATGTCATGTTCTCCAAGAGTTTCATGCAAGTCCGTGATATTTCCAAATCCATGCAGGTTCCAGAAAACGATCTTAGGATGCTCACAAGTTGTCGCGCCATAGGGGGGGTTTTGCTATTCCTCGTAGGACAGTTTTCTAGAGGATGTTTTGTGGTTCATAGTCGAATTGTCCTTTGCTGAATTCGGCGTATTAAGAAAGTTGTCCAAGGTCTCAGAAGTACATGGGTCCCTGGTTTCTGCGAGTGAAGGACGCCCTTTTTTCTTTTTACTAGTTTGCTCTGATGATTTTGTGTTCAGACCTGAGGTTGGTGGGGGGGGGGGGGGGGTGCGAATCCTTTTCCGACCAGATCTGGTTAACATCTGTGTAATATTGGTTGGAATGGTTAGTTGTTTCTTCTCAGGAACGTGCTCATCTAAAACGACAATTTTTGTTCCCTTTAACACTACATTCTGACCCTCCTCCCTCATCTTTTTTACTTGATCCAGAAGAATACGACGGTTCTCCCTCTCCTCCTTAGAGCGATCATTTGCGATAAAAATATTTTCGCTTTTCAATTCTCTCACCTTGCCGAAGACCATTTTCACCCATTTGAAGGATATAAATTTTTTATCATAGTGGGATGATTTCCTTGGGTTTTTCCAATGCGGAAAACATCATCTATCGCCACATCCGGAATCTGTAACTTTACTTTTTTAAAGATGTTAAGTACGACTGAGTTTAGGTGGGAATTAATTTCATCCGTATCCTGTAACTTGAAGAGAATGATATTCCTTGAGCGAGAGACTCTCTCCAAAGTAGAAAGAGAGTGTTCCGATTGAATCATTCTCTGTTCAAGTCCCTTCACCTCTTTGTCTACCAACTCAATAGTCTTAGAAGAAGTGTGTATTTTAGTACGTATCGTGTTGATAGATTCATTCAATTTATTTATCGATGTAAATAAATATTTCCATCTTTCTTCGTCTGTAGTTGGAAAACTGTCTTCTCGTTCCTCTGACATTGTATTGTTTTCAATGCTAAGACAAAGCCTGATGACGTCAGTCCGTTTACGAGCGATTGAAAAAGAAAGAGGAATAATAAATTCCACACAGAATTATTAATCACACTGCTAAATGAAATTTTTTTTTTTTTTGTAAAATCTTTTGCGTTACCACTGTCAAAAAACAAACAACACAAAATATAATCAGAGATTATAGGTATCACTTTCACTCACTTCACTATATATTCCTCTGTACCAGCAAAGCAAACATGTTTCTTAGTAAAAGAAAAGTCGCCAAGTCTATCAAAATTTAAAAATAAAACAAACAATGTATCTACAGTTGAGATAAAACATCACCAAAATACGGTGAGACACTTCACAATAATAAAACTTGTTCCCTTGCACTATGTAATTAAATATGTTACTATATTACTATGTAATTAAATATACTTGAGATTTTTGTACCTATGAACAAAATGTTTAACTTTAATTAGAACTGATAGTAATATCAGATCTCGTAGTATTCATAACCTGTGAAGTAAGTCATTAATATATTAAATATATTTTACTTATTTACTTGCACTATTTGTAACATTAAATACATATTTAGAGAACAATGAAGGGTTAATTCTTACAAATAAACATAAAATTTCTGACAAATATAAAGAAAATTATGAGAAAAACTTGTATCCCTATAAAAATTTGAAAATATATTTTTTTATTTTTGATCTATTTTTTGGAGAAATTTTAATTTATCTCGAAACTGTGACGTGTTGTGGCGAAAGTAGACCCAGATTTGGATTCAGCGCGTCAAAATACGTATAGAACACATGGTGCCATCCAGAGATGTTAAAAATGGGTCTCAAAACCTATTTAAAATGCTAAATACTAAATGGTATCACAAAAAGTATTTCAAACATAAAATATAAAATAGTTTTCAAAAAGTTATTTCAAATGCAAAATAGAAAATACGCATTTTCAAAATGGTTTTACAAAATAAAATGCTTTATTTTAAATGAACTTTATTTTTACGTAACTTTTTGACTTTTTCATAAAATAATATTGTATCCCTTATGAAACTGTTTTATATATTATTCTATTAATTTGACTTTATACAATAAACTACTTTTTTGAAAAAATTGTAAGAAAACTTTGTCAGCAATTAAATAAAATATCTCATTTTCAAATGCTTGATGTGAAATCCTATGTAAATATTGAAACTTTGAACCTAAAAATTTCCGTTTTTAGTATGTAAAAATGAATATTTTCCCATAAAGTTTGGTAAAATTTAAAAGAAAATGAATTAGCCTACGAATCTCCTTAAAAGAAAAAATTGCTACAATATAAAAAAAATTTTCTTGTATTTTGCATTTTCAAATACAAAATAATGAAAAAAACCATTTCAAATCAAAATGCAAAATGGTTTTCGGCAAATGCATTTAAAATGTAAAATGAAAATAGGCATTTTGCATTTTCTATTTTGCATTTGAAATAGATTTATTTGAAATAGTTAACATCTCTGGTGCCATCAATGTATATTTTCCCGAAAAAAATTTTGTGGTCCTGTGTTATTATTTGATTGAATTATAATTCATGCTAAATTGAAAAATGAAGAACTTAAAAATAACTAAGTTTTAATTATTACGAATTTGTATCAAAAAGAAATCTATCGGGACAGGAAATCAATATGGCTGTTTTTGGCACTCACCCAGGGTTAACCCCGAGTTAAATATTATCCAATCATCAAAAACATTCTGTTGGTCTAACCTATCACCATTAACTTGGAGTTAACTCGGGGCGAGTGCCGAAAACAGCCTATGTGTTAGTTTTTATTGCTCATAAATAATATATTTATAAGAATTTTTAAGTTATAGAATTTATATAAATTTCAGCACTGCCATTTGAAATATCTTAAATTTAGCAAAAATTTAAAAAAATTAAATTTATACTTGATCGAATATTTATTGAACCGACTCTTCATTTTCCCGAATTTTTATTGGTATGAATTGTTATTTGACAGAATTATCATTTGTCCGAATCATCAACTGTTGGAAATATTTCAGCCATTTGCAAATTCGGACAAATGATAATTCGGTATTTTAAGAATTTTGTCAAATAATACCCAGGTGCGATTTTTTGGTCGGCCCATAGTTGGGCCAACTTTTACAAAGTCGGTCCAACTTCTCGTGCCAGAGGTTGGGCCAACCATACAGATGATAACGGCGACCGTCTAATGGCGACGATGGTTGGCCCGACAACTCATAAGGAAGTTGGCCCAACTTACAATGCATATGTTGTGCCAACTATACATTTCAATGGTTGGTCCAAAGACTGACGCCAAAGTTGGCACAACTTTAGATGCGTAAGTTGGGCCAACCACAATTTTCAAAGTTTGGCCAACTTCAACAGCCAAAGGTAAAAAATTATTAAAAAACTACATTATTTAAACAATTAACACGTTATTATTAGCGGGAACATCAGATATAACCTTTACCTATTATTATTAAACACAATCTCATACATACATTTTCGAAAATATCTATAGCTCGCTGGGATCGAACCCCTAACCTAACGCACCGAAGACTTATACACTGACCACTACGCTACGCTCACATGGGAGTGCATAACGCAAAATGTATATTTAAGCTGCAACAGTCGGGCCAACCGTGGCCCAGAGTTCGGCCAACCAAGAAAGTTTAAGTCATTTAAACCGCATTTGACAAAGTTTTGCCAACCGTTGGGCCAACCGTGGCCCAGAGTTCGGCCAACCAAGAAAGTTTAAGTCATTTAAACTGCGTTTCTAGAGTTTTGCCAACCGTTGGGCCAACCGTTGCCCAGAGTTCGGCCAACCAAAATAATGTAAGTCAATTAAACTGTGTTTCACATAGTTTTGCCAACCGTTGGGCCAACCGTGGCCCAGAGTTCGGCCAACCGAAACTGAAAGTCTTTTAAACTACGTTTGGATAAGTTGTGCCAACCTTTGTCGCCAAAGTTGGCCCGACGGTTGGTTAAACTCTGCATTTAATGGTTGGCTTGCAAAGTCGGGCCAACTGTGGGCACAAGTACTTGCCAAAGTTGGGCAAACTCTGGCAACCAAAACTTTGCTTGCCAAAGTTAGGCCAACCTTGGGCCAACCTTCAAACTCTGGCGGCCAACCTAAATTCGCACCTGGGATAATTCTTACAAATGAAAATTCGGGCAAATAAAGTTTGCTCAACAAATATTTTGTCAAATATAAATTAAATTTTTTTAAAACTTTGCTAAATTTAAGTTATTTTAAAGAACAGTGCTGTAATTTGTAAATTTTAAAACCTAAAAATTCTTATAAATATTATGTATGAGTAGTAAAAATTTACACATTGATTTTATTTCCCGGTAGATTTCTGTTCAACAGAAATTCGTGTTAATTAAAAGTCAATTATTTTTAAGTTCTTTGGTTTTAAAATTATCGTCAATTATCATTCAAACAAATAATAATATGTTTTCATTATATTAAGATATAATATTTCCAAAATTAAAATAAAAAAATTCTTACAATTAATTTTTTAAAAATATTCTTAAATATAATTTTTGAAAGATAAATAATTTTTTAAATGGAAAAATTTCCAATTAATTGAAATTTAGTAAAATCATTTAAAAATAATTGAATTTTTGAAGAATTTTAATTATAAATATGACTATGATTTCTCAGAAATTTTAATAAGTCTAAAAAAATAAATTTTTATTTACTTATTGTTCGAAGATAATTGAATCTTAAAAAATTATGATAAAACAAATTTTAAGAATTCGTTT